AGTTTTAACGTACAGCTGTCATCAGGAGCAGAAGGGGTGGATTGGGACCGTAGCGGCATTGGGAGGGGAATTTACTCTTCCTCCCCAAACAGCATTTTGTGAGCCACCCATCTTCCAAAGTGGATTCATTGCCCCACGAATGGTAATATGTATCTTTAAATGGGTGACAGCCCCAATCTAACCAGTCTAGCACAGAACATAGCAGGCTTCATCCTGATGAGATTGAGAGTATTTACACAGGTGGTTCCAGCATCTGCCCTGGTTTTCTGTTTTCAAAATTGGGGTATTCCACAATTTTTCAGGTCTACAGAAATTCTCAGTCAGTTACAAATCCAGCATTCTGAGAATCTCTGTTGTTACTGTTTATTTGAACCAGTTTTCTAGATCTTAAGGCTTAGAGAATATTGTGGGCAATGCTAGGCAATATCGGAATGTTTTAGAGATTGTGGAGTGGGATTTCCGGTTGGCAAGGGCAGTTTTCTCTGCAGCTCTTGGTTACTGCAAGGGGCAGATGGAAACAAGGCAAAATTATGCAAAAAAAATCATGGCATGGTTATGATGAACATATGCAATTATACCTAAGATTTACGCAAAGCTAGACAACCGGATGGAATTGCCTTGTTTTATTATTGTTTTGTTTTAGCATCTCGTTTGCATGGAAATGCGTTCCAAAATTGCACAGCATCCCTGAAGTGAGGGAGAGTGGTATGCAAATTTATGCAAATCCATATTAAATTAACACAGCCGTTTGGGAGTCAGGCGGGGGTGTATACCACTGACATGCACGAATATGCAAATTGTTCTGGAAACTGGCAGCATTCTTGGGCGGCTTGATAGCAGCATACAGTGCCATTATGCAAATACATGGAGAGTGTATCCAACTGCCAAGGAGAATAAGCAATAGAACCTCCATTATCTGCATTACAATTATCCAAATTCCTCGATTATCAAAATCTTGCCATTTTCAAATACCTGCATGTCTTCTCCCCTCCCGTGGCTGCCAATTCGGAAGGGCCCAGGGAAGGATCCTGAGGAGCTGTTATATGTTTCAATATTATCTTAATTGTGATTTTTATTATTGTGTTTTGACTTTAGTTGTAAGTCACCTTGGAACAATTCGTATCCTTAAAGGTGAGATGCGAATAATTATACTGTAATAAAAAAATGTGAATAACACACTCCTGTTTATCTGAACTTTCCAGTATCCAAACACACCAATCGGAAACATTCAACAGCCACCCCGGTTAATATCACTGTCACATTCAGTCTGGCAACCTGCTGGATTGATCCATTACACTTTCCAATATATTTAAAAGGTGCAGCTTTGGTTAACGTAATTCTGTTTAACATCACCCACGTATACAAAAAATGCAGGTAGCTCTTGTAGAGAGAGAAAGAGGTTGCCTCTTTGAACATGTTGCTCGTTACGACTTCCAAAACTTTTTTCCCCTTCAGAACAATTTCTGTGTGTGCCTGGTTTTTTTAAAATCACATACAGATATAGAAAAATAAAAATTGCATGATTTACTAGCTAAGATTTAACAGGGGAAATGTCTATAACAATAGATTCTGTATGTAGCTGTGAACTATAACTGGATAAGGTAAAGGTAAAGGTACCCCTGCCTGTACGGGCCAGTCTTGACAGACTCTAGGGTTGTGCGCCCATCTCACTTAAGAGGCCGGGGGCCAGCGCTGTCCGCAGACACTTCCGGGTCACGCGGCCAGCGTGACAAACTGCATCTGGCGAGCCAGTGCAGCACACGGAAACGCCGTTTACCTTCCCGCTGGTAAGCGGTCCCTATTTATCTACTTGCACCCGGGGGTGCTTTCAAACTGCTAGGTTGGCAGGCGCTGGGACCGAGCAACGGGAGCGCACCCTGCCGCGGGGATTCGAACCGCCGACCTGACGATCGGCAAGTCCTAGGCGCTGAGGTTTTACCCACAGCGCCACCCGCATCCCTATCCATAACTGGATAGAATCACCAAATAATCCACACCAGCGTGGCTCTCAGTAAATTTCCCTTCCAAGCCCCCCCCCCGCCCCCAATATATGACAGGCACTGTTTGGGAGGCAGGAGTGGGTCCCCCCCCCCATATTGTGGTCCTGTCTTTTGTTCAGGTGGGAAGCCATTTTGTCTTATTATGCCACACCCCCAACAGCGGCCATTTTGTGACCGGCGCCCGCGGCACTTCCCCCAGAATGCTCGTTGTCAAACAAAGGTTGGCAGCCCCTGATCTGGACATGCACATGCCCTCACTTTTCCTGACTTTGACCTCTTCCCTCCCTGCAAACTTTTCTCCGCAGGGAGATCCCGGAGGCTGGATGCAGGAATCCTGCCTGCAGACGGGAGACGCCTTCCTGTTGGTTTTCTCGGTGACCGATCGCCGCAGCTTCACACGGGTCCCCCCCACCCTGTTGAGCCTACGGGCTGGGTGCCCTCGGACAGACCCCCCTATTATCCTGGTGGGGAACAAGAGCGACTTGGCGCGATCCCGGGAGGTCTCACGCGAAGGTGAGTTGCCAGAGGCGCCGCTCCCTAAACAGTGGGGAGATTGCCTGCGCACCATCCAGGTGGCTTCCAGTCTATCATTTTGGAATAATTCGTTCTTTCTGAAGGGCCGAGGCAGGAGAAGGAACCCAGGAGAATTGTTTGCTCGCTTATTTTCTCCTTTTCATTTCATTTTTAATTTTTTATTGAATTTTACAAGAAAAGAGAAAGACAACGAAAGATAAACAAAGAACAATGCATCACATTATAAACACGTTTATATACATATTTTCCAAAATACAAACTAAAAACTAAAAAAAAGACAAAAGAAAAAATACTTTTCGTAACCCATATTACCAAATTCATGCTTCAAACATTACAATATATAAATCTTAGTTAAAATATTAGAAAAGACTTCCACCGCATTAACCTTTACATCTGTTCTTCAATCATTTCCCTTCCTTAGATTCTTTCATAGTCAGTCAAATCTTTATGTTCTCTATACTCTTCACAAGGTTAGTCCAGGCACAACCAAACTTTCGTATTTGAGCCCTGCTTGTATAAATATTCATTTAAGCATTCCCATTGTTTCTGAATTATAGCTTTTGATTTATGCCTTATTAAATCCATCAATTTTGCTAACTCCAGGTACTCACATGGTTTACATAACCATTCCCCTTTTGTTGGGATATACCGTAATTTTTGCTCTATAAGGCTGCGCACCTATCCCAGAAGCCAGAACAGCAAGAGGGATTGCTGCTTTCACTGCGCAGCGATCTCTCTTGCTGTTCTGGCTTCTGAGATTCAGAATCTTTTTCTTTCTTGTTTTCCTCCTCCTAAAACTAGGTGCGTCTTGTGGTCTGGTGCATCTTATAGAGCAAAAAATACGGCAATTTCCTTTCCAATGACTGGCTGCCAACGTTCTCACTGCTGCTGTTGCATACAGAAAGATGTTAATTTTGTCTTTGGGGATATCCTTACTCAAGATTCCTAGTAAATATGCTTCTGCCCTTTTGATATATGATACTTTTATCCATTTTTTAATCTCTTCATGGATCATCTCCCAAAAAATTTTGATCTCTGGACATGTCCACCACATATGGTATGGTTTATTTTCTCATGTTTCTTGCCTCCATATCCAGAGGGCCGCAGCCTGGCTGTCATGATGAACTGCAAGCACATCGAGACGTCCGCGGCGCTGCATCACAACACGGAGGAGCTCTTTGAAGGCGTCGTGCGGCAGATACGGCTGCGCCGCCGTCGGCGCGAGGGTGATGGCTTCAGCAGGGAAGGGGCCGGGGGCCGGCGCGAGAGCCTCACCAAGAAAGCCAAACGCTTCCTCTCTAGCCTGGTGCCGAGGAATGGACGCTTCTTCAAGCAGAGGTCAAAATCCTGCAACGACCTTTCAGTGCTATGAGCCCCATGGCTCCCCATTGCAAGCATGCCAGAAATCTCTGCAACGAAAGGAAACACGTTAGACTCCCCTTACCCTCAGCTGCATCGAGCTCAGGAGAGCAGCCACGTCGAGCCAGGGGCAGTTCCCAAACATAGCAAAGCTCCCAAAATCCTCCTTGGCTCAGCTCTCCTCCCATCATCTTCAATGCATAACCAAACAAACAATTTGCTCCTGTGCAGCAGCTTGGCTCCTTGAGAGGGCTTCTCAAACAAACAAGTTTTACAAAAAAAACACACATTTAATATACAGTATGCTTTACAGGACCTGGAGACACCTGCTCTCCAAACTCACGTGCCTCTCGCTTTTTCAAATATTGCTTGTGGCACTCTTGTGGGATTTATTTTCTTGTCTGCCTTTAAGGGTGTCTCGTCCTAAAGGTGCCCAACTGGTACAAAACGCTTCAGTCAAGAGACTCAGGACTTTTGTTCGGGATGTCTGTTCCTTTCTCGTCCGTGACGCTCAGGTGCCCATAATCTCTCATGGGACAAGATTTTTTTTTCCCAAGGCACTAACTCTAGAGTGAAACGTTACGTCTACTGTGTATGTAAACAAATGCCCCTAGACTCTTTGCGCAAAGCCTTATCCATCGTGCTACTTTGCTATATCTTAGGAGGTATTTTTAGAGGTGCTGTTTTTTGCTGCCCTCTGCGTCCGTACATATACCGAAGAGGATATAAAATAGTGGAAGTTTATTTTCTCTATAGTTGTGCGGCGCACCTCGCTTTTCAGAGGCCCTTGCTTAAAGGCACCGACTTTAGAATGTCCCTTCCTGTATGGTCTAGCAAACAGGAATGCTTTGTGTTCGCTTAAATGTTCAACTTTGAAAAGGTAGTTAAAGGCACCAGCTGGGGGATATTTCAATCTCATTGCATCGACACAGTGGAGGAATAGCACCTCTAAAGCTTTGTGTACCTCACTTTTAAAGAGCACATAAGGGCGTTCCCCTACCCTGTGCTTATTTCAGCCAGCTAACTGCAGCTTTGGAAAGCTTAATTCGTTTGCTTAATGCTTCCTCTGCCAATGCTCACCTTTTAAACAATTGTTCTGTTTTTTTAAAAAATTATTATTAAGGAATTCATCAAAGGAATTGCTGTTTTAAATACCAAACACATATGCTTCTCTTTTAATATCATCACCCACCTGAAGGGCACGCTCTCCTTAAGGAGAGCTGTTGTGGAAGATGGATTATCAGTTAACCGCCATATCTAGCACATCGTTTTAAAGAAGCCATTGCAACAGCAGCCTTTTCAATTCAGCTACAGATGGAGAATTCTCCACATGCCGTAGCTTTTAACCTCCCTTTTAAGAGGCAGACTAAAGGCACAAACCTCAAAGCATTTGTGACTGTGGGGCAGGGATGTGTGTGTGTGTCTTCTGACTGGCTTTCTGGACCTTTTGTTTGGAAGGCTACAACCAATAATGAAATGGAACAATTAATGATTAACCAGCTTGGAGCCTGGTTCTTTTCTTAAAGGGACAGGAATTTTATTCCTGGAAGAAGACTGCTTTCAGATTCCAAAATGACGGATTTGAAGGATGTAGCCTTATATGTACACCCCACACCTGCCAAAAAAAACAACAAACCACTTTGCGGTAGAGTGCCTGACAAATGCTGTGTGCTTATTTTCCAATTAAAGCCATTTTCTATTATAGTACCTTCATTTCTCTAACCTGTAGCGTCTGGGCCAGGGGTTGCTCAGAACCGTTAGAAAGTGGTGTGGGATGTGGGGAGCGACCAAGGAAAGGGATGTAAAAGGATGGACTGGCAGGGAAGCTGCAGGGAGGGCAGGAAGAACGCAGGAGGTAAGGCAGTGAGTGGTAAGCCAGGAGAAAGGCCATGAAAATCATGCGATCCTGGAAGTGCACAGCTGCTACTCAAGAAATGGACGTTTGACAGCAGGGTGGGGCGTAGGATGAGAAGCTCAAACGCACTGGACATCCATTGTGTTCACGACCGGATCAGGGCAGTTATACGTGAACCCATTTTCCATGTTTGCCCTCAAGTGTTTTGCGGGAGATTGGCTGATCCACACCTTTGCTCAGCCTGTTTCCCCTGGGTCAGAGCGCTTTTCTTGTCATTCTGTGCCTTGCGAAATAAAAAATAAAATCAATCCAATCTTACCCACTGAATTGGATCAGATGCACGGAAAAATCGGAAGAAAGGTTTTGCTGAACCGAACTTCAGCTCAGCAGGTCAGATCACATTTTCGCAAGGCAGAAGAGTGGGAAAAGCTCTCGAACCCAGAGGGAATTAATCAGGGTCAACCCAAAGGGTGGCTAAGCTCACGGCTTTTGGCATGTGTCCCTTAACTTCCTGATGAAATCCTGCAGGATTTTATACCACAAAATCCTCTTTTTTGTTGTGCCTTGGTGCAAGATCTCCCCTCCAGACTCGGCAGTGGAGGAAGCATCGCAGAACGACTCGTGAATTAGAATGTTTGGACGACAGGGCAGTGTAAATCCACCACTAATTCCCCATTAGTGAGTCAGTACTCAAAGAAAGTACTTCTTCGTGCAATGCACGAGTTAAACTACGGAACTCGGCTCCAGAGGAGGCAGCAGCAATGATCGACAACCAAGGTGGCTTATAAAAGAGGACTGAACAAATTAATGGAAGACAAGGCTATAAACAGCTCCTAGGCACAATGGCTAATGCTGCCTTCGCTGAGGCAGTCATGCTTCTTGAATTACCACTTGCTGGGAACCACAGGGAAGATGCTGTTGTGCCGAAATCCTGTTTGCGGGTTTCTCACAGGCATTTGGCTGGCTGATAGGACAAGGTGGGTCAGTGGCCTGATCCAGAAAGCTCTTCTTTGTGTTCTTAAAATTGCAAAGTGCATCCACAAAAAACAAGCCAAACAGAAAACCCACCAGTATGGAGGACCCTCCAAGATGTGATTTCCGCTCAGCTTTGCAGGGACTTGGCAAGAAAGAAAGGCCTTCTTCACATGCTCTGTTACCGTCCATTCCTTCCTCTGTTCCCTGGGCTTTTACCCATTGAGAGCAGGTTTCAAGGGGCTGCACTTTGCCTCTATAGGCTGGGGGTTGGGGAAAAGACAGATCAGGAGAGGGAGGAAGAGGAGGCGGTTTGCCTACAGAAGCCGAGGCCTGATGAGCAATGAGAGCGGCACGGCAGTCAGCGGGCATAGAAGCAAAAGGCAGTGCAGGGAGCCTGCTTAAGATGCAAGCCGTGTGCCTCCCCTCATCAGCAGAGGAGACAGGCTGACGGTTCAAGCTGTCAACGCTTGCCAGGGGCCCTCCTACGCCTGCCTTAAATGAGAAGCACCTGCAACGAAGATTTCTATTCCCTCCCCTCCCCTCCAACACTCCACTTTCTGCAAAGCTTACCTTGGCACAGACCTGGAGCATCCGCTGCCACCTTCATAACCACCACCCTAAGCCGTGATAGGCACCCTTGATGTGTCACTGCCTCTGCCCCTGTGTCCTTACCACTCCTAAGGAGTGGGTGGGGAGAGAGAGAAAGGGGCTTATCAAAAACTTCAGAAGCGCTTGCATTTTCTGAAGGGACCAGCTGGTCACACCTTGCAGCCACAAGGCAGACTCGAGGTGGGCGGAGGGTGTCTGAGTCGGCAGGTTCTGCAGAAAAAAGGGGACCTCAACACCTGGATGTGTTGTGTGTTCTGCAACCCCTTTGCCCCTTACAAGTTCTTAAACTTGGGAGGGCATTAAAAGAGAACCAGGTCAATTGAGGAAGCAGAAGGCCACTGAAGGTATAAACGGGTATATATTCCAGCGGTGGCCACTGTGAGGACAGGATTCCTGACTAGATGGACTGCTGGCCTCATCCAGCAGCCTCTTATATACAGTGGTACCTCAGGTTACAGAGACTTCAGGTTACAGACTCTGCTAACCCAGAAATAGTACCTTGGGTTAAGAACTTTGCTTCAGGATGAGAACAGGAATCGTGCAGCGGCGGCAGTGGGAGGCCCCATTAGCTAAAGTGGTGCTTCAGGTTAAGAACAGTTTCAGGTTAAGAATGGACCTCTGGAACCAATTAAGTACGTAACCAGAGGTACCACTGTATTAGAAATCCTTACATTCCACGAGTATAATGCTATGCTGTTGGTGTACACTGGTTGTATACTTGCTGAATGTAATGTGTGAACACCCCTGCAGTCAGCTACATAGCCAAGTGGGGATTTGAACATCTCCTAGCTCCTAAACCAACCCTCTGAGCAGGCTGGTGAATATGCTGCCCATACCAGAATTGAACCCATAAGAGAATCAACAGAATGCATCCCCAAATTGAATTTACTTTCAACCAATGACTAAATATGCCTCAATAATATACTCTTTCCCCTTCACGCGTCTCCAAAACCAGGTAACTGGTTCGAAGCAGACCCTCTCATTTTCATACACAGGAGCACGTAGCACTGATTGCTCATCAACTATAGCATATGTGTTCACCATGAAGAGGGCTCTTTTTTTAGAAAACAAAAGAAAAAAAGGGTAAAAAGAGACAGCATTTGTTCAGTAAACACCTAAATGCAATTTCAGGTCATCAAGGACGGAAGTTGCTGCCATACAAATATTGCAGAAAGAGGGTGCGATCTTTTTGCAGAAGGAGCAAGGAATGCTTTCGACTCCACTGCCTCCTAGCTTAGCAAAACCAAACCCACATTGCAGCCCCTTTTTCTCTCTCCCCTCCCCAATTCCTTCCTTTGCCAGCGAAAGCTATCAAAGCTATCACACTTGAGAAAACAATGAGGAACAAAATGTCTTCCCTTCCCCCCCTTCCTTCCCTTTCCATGGCTCAAGTATTCAGAAATTGGATGAGCAAGAAAAAAAGGGGGGGGGATGGGAAGGAGATGTGCATCTCTTCACCATGGAAACACCCTTATGGGTCCACAGCTGGGTGGTTGCCATGGACACAAAATGTTTCCCATTGCCATAGCGATGATCATCGATTGAGCAAGCTGGCAGCCAGACTGCCACCCTTGTCTTCTGCAACCGAAATCAAGGACAAGGGGCTTGGGGGGGGGGGCAAGCGGTGGAAGATCTGGGGTCCCCACAGATGAACCCAGGCTTATAATTAGGGGAAAGGAACGCCACTTGGGAAATGGAAGAAAGAGGTTAGAGTTATTTATGGATCATCACTCTCCGTGTCCCTAGAGGAGGCCATGCAGGTGCATAGCTAGAGGTTACGGAAGGCTGGGGGGGGTGCTGAATTTGCCGACAGATTTCGCAGTACATTTGGAGCCATCTGCAGCTCGGAGCGAAGTAGCACCTGGGAGCCAGGAGCAGGCAACCGAGAAGTCGTGAGCAGGGGGCAGCAGAAGAATGGGTCACATAATTTACTCCTGGGGTGTGTGCACACCCTCCATCTCCAAAGGAAGAAGATCTGCCAAGATATCCATGAGCAAAACCAGCATGGGGGTGGGGGAAAATAATAATCTCGCACCCTACAAGTCACACATTTCTGTCTCAAGGATGGAGAAGGGAGCTGGAGGGTTGCGCCTCCGCTCCCACACCAGCTGGATCCTGTGGCTTTCAAGCGACAAACAACAGCCACAGCTGAGCAACTTAATGTGGCGCCGTGAACAGGCTCTGGCCATCTTCCTGCAAGACCAGGAGCAAAAAAAACCAAACCCCCGAAGCGCATCAATGCATGTACATCTGCACTCACCCAAGCAGTGAACGTTTGACCCAATTACCAACATATGCCTTGTATTTCACAACTCTCTAAACACAGCGAAGAGAACAAGAGGAGAGAATCAGAAAATAAGACAAGGTGGCAGCTCTGGGCAACATGCGCTGTGAACAGCCATTTTCTCTACGCTAACCACTCTCTCTGCCGGGCAAGAGGATCACGCATACTCGAGGAACCCCCCGGGAATAAAAGCTGCAGGAAATCCTGTGGGGTGGGGTAGCCCATGGCTCTTAGCTGTTTCCCACCAGGAGGCAAGCTTAGGTGGGCCAACCAGGATCAAAAGACCCCTTTGAGTCACAAGGAGGGTGTGTAGGGATGAGCGATGGCGAGTGGGCTGAATTTGGCCCAGGGACACCCAGGCAGCCTAACCGCGGATGTTGACTTGCACCGTTCAGGCAAGGCATCCTGCTCAGAGCGTCGGTGGAAAACAGTCCCCCTCTTTCTCAAATCAGTCATTCCTGAACAGGGAGCCATGGGAAGACTGGTGATGTGCCATAAACAAGTTAAAAACCAAAGGCTCCTGGCAAGTCGACAGAAGGAAAGCAGATCAAGATCTAATAGTAGATCTCAAGATCTGCTGTCGGGACCAACAAGGTTTCAGACTCCCAGTTATTTGACAAGAGCAACAAAAATGTGACTTCTTCTGCCGAAACAAGCTGACAAACTCTGGACTTTTTGTGTGCGCAAATTCTGGCGCGGAGAACGAATTTCAAGGCTTCTTACTCTTTAATTCTAATTGTATAGCTTTCGGACCTGGCTCTCATTTTGAGGAAACAAAAGTTGATCCAGCAAGCCTGAAAGTCTGCCCACCCCTAGTCCAGGGCTGCCCTGGACTTCCTCCTCTGGCCTTGGGGCCTTCTACTCATCGACTCTGCCAGGGGTGGCAATTTTGCCAATTGTCTGGCATGAGGCGTGAGCCTCAATCACTCCTGGGTAGTTCTGAGGATGTTTTCAGTTCTGACTTAATTTGGTGTACATGACTGAAGTGTGCATCTGCCCCAGACGGTTTGGAAATATTTATCTAGACTAAGAACCACAGCATCCTCCCTGTCTCTCCAACCGATAGTCTTAACCTGACAGACCCTCCCAATAACACTTTCAGCCCCATATTTCAGCCTTAACCTGCAGGTGTGCATCACCTCTGCCCCTCAAATCAAGGAGTAGAAGCAACCTGACATCTTGCTGCCCTTTCACTGCCGCAAAATGAAAAACACACCTAGCTACATTTGGTGACTTTTTATTATTCATTTATAAGCAAAAAAGAGAAAAAAAAGAGAAAAAAATTTAAAGAGACAGATAAAAAGAAAACCAAAATACACCTTCAAATTTGGGGATGGAGGGGGAAGGGGAAAGATGTGATCCAAGGGACTCGGTTTGAGGGAAGGTGCGGCAGAAAATGGGAACACCAAGAAGAGGATACAGACCCAAGAAAAAGGAGGGGTGAGGGAAGGGAAAGGGAGGAATGGGACGACATCCCCCCACTATAAGCAACCTCCGAGAGATTGAGAGGGGATTACAAAACACTGCTTGGGAAGGAGGGGGGGGATATCCCCTCGGGGCCAGGCCTCCCACCCAAATGCTGGTTCTCGACTCTCCCCACTTCCTCCCTCTCTGCTATGTACAAGACACACGCGCACACCCATCTGCAATGAGCTCAATTCATGAAGCCGTCCAGCAAATACCCACAACACACCACTGGTGGGGAAGAGGAATGGCAAATGTACACCCTGGCGTTGCAAGCCCCGCAGGGCCTCTGCCAGGAGGCGGCAAAAAACAAGAAGAGATGCTGAGAGCCCACGTCTGTGGGGGAAACGGGTCCCTGGTCCTCCTGAGGGTCCCATGCAGGGGATTTATCGCAACCCCGCCCCCCCACATCCGATTATGATTCCAGAATCAAGGGGAAGAACACCAACCCCCTCCCACCCCCAGGCTCCTGGTGGGAAGGGAATCGGAGTAAAATCAGTTCGCATTGAGAAGGGGCCCCGAGGAGGAGGGGGTGTTCCTTCAGAGTCCATCCCGCTCTGCCTTGCATTCAATGAGGGCGGTGATGTGGTGATGATGTGGAGATGATCATTCCCCTCCTGGCTCCGTGGGAGAGGGAGGGCAGGGGGGGAACCGGGTTGAGTTACCTGGGGAGAGAGAGAGAGAGAGATACATGGATTAGGAAGGTACAGTATAATCCCTCTCCGTCCAGCATCCAGTTGCACAGATTTCATGCACGCACATGATAACCAACATAAAATAATGAGGGCAGATGAGGCCTTTGTGTGTCGGTTTCTAAAAGTAGAATTTTCTGAGCCACAAGGTTGCAGACCAAAAGAAAAAAAAGGCTGGAAAACAATTTCTGGCAAACCACCTCTCTCCTTCCACCCCACTTCGCCACATAGGTTTCGTGCCAAAATATTGCAGCTCAGAAAAATCACACAGAAGTTGTTTGGTGTTAAAACTAAGTATATCCTTTTTTTTCTTTTGACCAAACTGCGGGAAGTAGTGGAGGACAGAGGTGCCTGGCGTGCTCTGGTCCATGGGGTCACGAAGAGTCGGACACGACTAAACGACTAAACAACAACAACAACATGTCCTGAGGAGAACTGTCAAGACACTGATGGGCATCCTGGCATCTGTGAGTAGCAAGTTTAGAAGTGAGGGGGACTCAGGGATAAGGCAGGAAGGGAGCAGCCTGGCAGTGCATTTTGGGAATGCGGGAGAACACTAGGCCAGGACGACTCCATTTCCACACACCAATTTAAGAGAGTATCAGCCCAATCTGGCTGAGGGAAATTAAACAGGCACCACTGTATTTCCCGGCACATAGTACACAACCATTGCCCCCCACCCCACTCGTCTCTGTGACTCAGCCACTCACATTGTCTGGGGAGTGAAGAGGCCCGAAAGCTGGAAGCACTGGGAAGCCAATGTCTGTGAAGCCAGGTTCAGTGCTGGGCTAAGAGCTAGAAGTGGAGAAGGACAGAGGAAAACAATAAGAGTTTTTTTTTTGGTTTTTTTTAAGGAAGCAATTCCCAAACAAGACAGTGGTAAAACAGGTTCATGCCTTAGGGAGCTACTCAAGCTTCTTAGCTGAGACCTATGTAAGCAGGCTGGGCAAATGTCTGGTTGGATTAAGGCCAGGGTAGCCTTCCCTTGGATCTGGGTGGCGCTGTGGGTTAAACCACAGAGCCTGGGACTTGCTGATCAGAAGGTTGGCGGTTTGAATCCCCGCGACGGGGTGAGCTCCCATTGCTTGGTCCCTGCTCCTGCCCACCTAGCAGTTCGAAAGCACGTCAAAGTGCAAGTAGATAAATAGGTACTGCTCCGGCAGGAAAGTAAACAGTGTTTCTGTGTGCTGCTCTGGTTCGCCAGAAGCGGCTTAGTCATGCTGGCCACATGACCCGGAAGCTGTCTGCAGACAAATGCCGGCTCCCTTGGCCAATAAAGCAAGATGAGCGCCGCAACCCCAGAGTCGGCCACGACTGGACCTAATGGTCAGGGGTCCCTTTACCTTTTAGCCTTCCCTTACTGGGTGCCTTCAAGAGATTGGACTACAAATTCCCATCAGCCCCTGACAGCAGCATCAATATTAGGCAGTGATGGGAGCTTATGGTTCAACAAATCTGAAGAGCACCAGGTTAGGGAAGCTTCATCCACTGGAGAATAGCAGAATGCATGCCTTGAACGCAAAGTGACCCATCTTTCCGTAATCTGCAGCATCTCCGGTTTAGAGAAGCTCATGCAGCAGAGGTAGAAAGGACCTATCCCCAAGACCGTGGAGAACTGCTGCCAGTCAGAGCCGACAAATGGGGCCAATGACTGGCTCAGTATAAAGAGGTATCCCCAGACACAATTCCCAGGAGTGTACAACAATGGTCAGGGATCTGTCTCCTTGCTAAAGTTGCTTTATTAAAGATTGTGGCTGGACCTCATGTCCCTCAAGGTTCTCATCAGGGTCACCCCCCCCAAACAAGCCCATCCAATGGATCGCACACATTCCCCACCTTACCTGTCAGGGCAGCTGGGTTCAGTGCTCCCAGGGGTATCGCTCCGTTGAGCTGCAGGGCCGCCTGAGCCGCGGCTGTAGTTGACAAGGGGATCCCGGAACCTGCTGAGAGGGGAGAAGCCCCAAAGGGGAGACTCAGCCACAGACACATTTTCATCCAACAAGCATTTCCTTAGCAGAAGGTGTTAAGTGATTTAACAACTCTTTGCCCTAGGCTGCTGCCCAAGCTGCAAGTATATTGAGACGTGAATGAGGACCCTTTCAAATGTTTCCCCTGCACTCCCCGCAAACCCAGTCTGGGGTTAGTGATAGGCACTTTTCGGTGCACAGAAGCTCCCCCCAAATCTCCACCCCTCAACTGGAGGTGGCCACACAAACTCTCCAAAGCAACTGAAGGATTTGAAGTGGATCTCTCTTTTAGTATGATTAAATGCTCAAAAACAGTAAAAGCTGTTATGATGAATCCAATGAACTTTTTTTGCTCTACTTCCCACTAAATGGTCAGCTGTAATCTTTTTGGACAATTCTGCAGGAACCGCAACTGTCCTCTCCCCATCATATTATTCTGATTTCCTTCCCAGCATTATCACAAAGCGCCAGAGAGGACAGCACCCTCTAATAATTTATCCTCACAATCTTATGAGGCAGGCTATCTGGAGATCATAGCAGAGAGCATTGACTTCTGTAAGAAGCAAGACTCCTCTCATGTTCAACAGAGGGGCCTGGGGAAGCAGCGAAGCAGACCCTACGCTGCAGCCAAAGGGAGGCAGTGTGTTCCTGCTTCTGCCACACTAACTCTTTTCTCTATGAGGTCAGAAGATGAAGGGTTCTAATTTAGAAGGAGCTGTTATGTGCTGACACAGACAGAGGAAGGGATACAGATTTATTCCATCCCCTCTAATAGAACCAATGCAAGAAAAGGTGTAATTAGTCAACAGGTGTGGGTGGGGCTGAAGTTCTCTATACCTGAACTAGGGGGGAACCTACTTCTTCTCCTTGCCCACTACCATAACTGTTAATAACGAAAGTACAGAAGAGAGGCTGGAGTATTGTGATTTCCTCATCCCTCCACCCCACCCTCACCCACCCCTGGGTTTGCATAACTTTCCAGCTTCATTAAGAGTTCTGGAGAACTTGGAAGGTTGCTCAATGTTTTGTGACATTTCAGTTGGTCATAATACAAGTATTATTATTATTATTATTATTATTATTATTATTATTATTATTATTATTATTATTATCTATACCACCCGTAATCCGAAGATCAGAGGCAGTTCACAATATAAAAAAACAAAAATATATAACATAACACCAAACATAAACAATACACCCCCCGCCTGCACAATTAAATCTGCCAATTCATCTGGCACCTAAAGATATGCAATGAAGCTGCCAGGCAAGCATTCCATAAGTGGGGAGCCACTGCAAAAAAGGCCCGTTTGTGTGTTGCCACCCTCTGGACCTCTTGTGGAAGAGGCACATAAAGGGCCTCAGATGGTGATCGCAGGGTCCGGGTTGGTTCATATGTGGAGAGGCAGTCCTTGAGGTATTGCGGTCCTGAGTATTACCCAACTACTTGGTTTTGGTGTGTTCAAAGGTTTAAAGAAGTCCAAAATGGCCTGGGAAGGGGATATCTGAAGGACCGTCTTCTACTGTACAATCCCTTGAAAACAGAGATCCAGAGATGAGGTCCTATTTGCAAGGTACACCCCTAGAGGCAAGCTAGGCAGGTGTCTACTAGAAGCAGGTGCCTTCCTGGTGGTACCCGTTCCCTTCCGTAAAATTTCCTTCCCATCAGATCAACACCCTCAATTGTAGTACTAAGCTTTTAAAGACTGCTGCTCTCCAGACATCCGCCTTCTTGTCTCCAGCCTGTTTTAATATTGCTTTTATTGCTCCCTGCGTGGCATATCACTTCTTAATAAACAAATCAGTTTGTTTCCATGATTCACATGAAGAAATCTCTCCCAGTTTCCTTGTTGCTCAATTCATACCAGGAAACTCACCTTCTGCCAGTTTGGCCATGAGCTGGAGCTGGGAGCCAGTGGTGCTGAGATTAAGGGCCGACCGCTCTGGCTCATCACCATCCGGGAAGGTGATGTCGGTGGTGCCGTCCAACCGCTCAGTGACCTGCCCCACCCGCATGGGTCGGCCGGCCAGCTCGAAACCATTCAGCTGCTCCAGGGCACGCCGGGCACACTCAGCCTCTGCAAACTGACAGGGGAAGAAAGTGCTTTAAAAGGGAAGCATCTGAGGCTCCCCACCCACCTTCAAAGCCAGGAGAGAAGAGATACATACCGTGATGAAGCCATAACCCTTGGACTGCCCGGTATCCTGGTCACGCATCAGCACAATGCTGTCAATCTGCAGGCAGACGAAAAAGCCACAAATCAGAACTCCGTGAGCCCCCACCACGCTCTGCCCACTCGCTCCTCCAGCCCTCCCACCTCACCCCAGTTATGCCCTCCTACCTTGCCAAAGGGCTCAAAGATCCCACGAAGCATCTCTTTGGTGATGTTGCAGTGAAGGGAGCCAACGTAGAGCCTCATGGGCCCCCCACTGCCTTTCTGAAGGTTGTTAGCCATGGCTGCCAGCCGGTTCTTCTCTGCCTAAGGACAGGGAAAACCAGGGAGGATTAGAAACAGCCGCAAGCAATATTAAAAACAGTAACAGCATTAAAAATTTGAGAGCCGGATATGAGTCTTACACAAGTGTAAGCAGGTCCTCATCCCCTGGCCTTTGGACAAACATGCCCAAAGGAGTGCCTTACTAACCCTGGGCTTGGGCTTTAAGAACTTCCAGCCCTTTCCTTAAAAACCCAACCCTTCCAGTTCCTCCGAACGCCCCTTTGCTTCACCTCTCTGCATCATCTCTAGCTCCATTTCCTGCCATTAACTTGTTCACTGGGTCACACACACCTACCCCAATCCACACCCCTCCTTCTCTTTCTCAGGCCACGCATACAAAGTTTCTTTACCCGCCCCCCTCCCACCTCAAATGCGTCTCGCACCTGGGAGGCCTGGACAATGATGGGCACCCCGAGGAGGCGCTGCCCTGTCAGCCCAATGGCCAACGGTACCGACTGGATCTCACAGAACTCCACGTAGGCGATGCCCTTGGAGCGGCGGGAGTTTCGGTCGGAGATGATCCGCACATCGCGCACCTGCTCGGAGGTACAAGGGGAGGCAAGTGAGAGACTGAACGGCTGCAGGAAGCCCATAGAAGTGCAGCTGAGGACGACTAAAAAGGCGTTTCTGGTTGAGATCACTGGGTACCATGCAGAACACAGAGGGAACTGTGGGTTTCAAGTCTGCACTTGAAGGGGGGGGGAATAAGCAAATGTCAAAGCCCAATGGAGGGAGGGAGGGGAAATGGCCAACCTTGCCGACAGCAGAGAAAAAGTCCTCAAGGTCACGTGGGCGAATGCGGGCAGCCAGCTGCATGCAGAAGACAGTGCGGGCATCACGCTCCTCTGGGCTCAAGCTGCCCAAGGGCTCCCTGTGGGAGAAAAGCAGAAGTTGCCAAGGAGGTTCAAACCTGGGAGGAGGGACTCAACAAGCCTTCTTGGTTCTGGGGGACAAGGGGTGGGCAGCTGTGGGGGACTCCCTGGTCCTGAATGGGGTAACTGTGCCCCTGAAGGACCAGGTGCACAGCCTTGGGGTCATTTTGGGACTCAGTTGTCCATGGAGGTGCAGGTTAATTCTGCATGCAAGGCAACTGTCTACCAGCTCCATCTGGTACACTGGCTGAGACCCTACCTGCCTGCAGACTGTCTCACCAGAGTGGTGCATGCTCTGGTTATCTCCCACTTTGACTGCTGCAATGTGCTCTACATGGGGCTACCTTCGAAGGTGACTTGGAAACTACAACTAATCCTGAATGTAGCAGCTAGACTGGTCACTGCAAGTGGCCACCGGGACCATATAACACCGGCCCTAGAGGATCTACATTGGCTGCCAGTACATTCCCAAGCCCTATTCAAAGTGTTGGTGCTGACCTTCAAAGCCCCAAATGGCCTCAGCCCTGTATACCTAAAGGAATGTCTCTATCCCATTGTTCAGCCTGAACACTGAGATCCAGCACTGAGGGCCTTCTGGCGGAAGTGAGGTGACAGGGAACAAGGCAGAGCACCCTCTTGGTAGTGGCGCCCACCCTGTGGAATACCCTCCCATCAGATGTCAAACAGATAAACAACTTTTTTACTTTTAGAAGACATCTGTATAGGGAAGTTTTTAACATCTGATGTTTTGTTGTGCTTTTATATTTTGCTGTAAGGTGCCCAGAGGGGCTGAGGCAACCCAGTCAGATTGGCGGCATATAAAAAATAAAATTATTATCATTATTATTAATGTGGCCCAAGAACCACCACCCAGCCCTCCCCAGTCGCAAACACTCACCGGAGGGGGCTTTTCTCTCTGTACAAGGGACTCTTGCTGTGCCCAAACCGACGCCTGCAAGGAAAGGGAATGGGACAGAATGCAAGATGGTCTAGTTCAACCACGAGAGCATAAACAGAGCAACCACTGTCCAAATACACAAACTGCCAAGTCCTTTCTCGTTTGCTTGAGATCAAAGCCAAGAGAAAACATCCCAAGGCAAGTGACAGCCTAGCTATCAAAGGAGAGGCTACTATCTGCTGCCATATATTACCCACTCCCCAATACTGTTGCTTCCTTCTTAGCTCTTTCACCTGAAACACCTTCCAGGGCAGGGTTCAGCTAGGAAGCAGGAATCCTTTACTGTTTATATACAGATTGTTTAGCCAGTGTGGGGAACCTTTGGCCGTCCGGGTGCTGCTCAACTACAACCCTCCTCAGCCCCAGCAATAACGGCAAAGGGTCAAGGATCATTCAGGCTGTGGTTAAGCAAACACTTGGAAGGCCAAAGGTTGATATTTACATTGATTATTGTACATATCATTTGTATTGTACAATACATTTGCATTTTTGTGTATCGTCAGCCACTTTGGGCTTCCAGTTTGAAATTCATTTTTAAAAAGAGAGACTTGTGCATTAAATGAAATTGGGGGGGGGGGGGAGAGACTGTTTCTGAGATATGCAATGGGTGGAGAAAGCTTCACGCCATGTCATGGAGACGCTGCTGTGGCAGAGCAGGCCAAGGATTTGGGAGACATGGAAAGGAGACTGAGGGAGAAGCTCAGAGGGACATGGACCACTGCTATAAGATGGGCATTAACTCGGCCTCTTGAGCCATCCCTGTTGCTGACACAGCTAAGATGAATTATTTCCTCCCTTTGCATTAAACCTTTGATCACCCGGGGCTTTTGTGATAGGTCTGTGGCAGCGTCCCTTACCCAGGGGGTGGGGGGCTCCGGTAGCGCACTCTCTCGTCCCGCCGGCGCTCTCTGCTGCGAGACCGGCTGCCCCGCCTGCGGTCCCGGCTGCGGCTCCGGTGGCGGCTTCTGCTCCGGTGGCGGCTACGGCGATCTCTGCTGCGGCTGCGCCTGCGGTGGCGGTCTCGGTCCCGACTGCGGCTAGAAGAGGTGTGAAGAACGAGAAAGGATTATGAAGCACGGCAGACTCCCCCAAACTGTCCTCGTTGCGCCTCCTACTGCAGGACAGGGAACTAAGCGTGCTGGGTGATACCAGGCCCTCCTTTCACCCCACAGTCACAACACATTTAAAGTACCGTATTTTTTGCTCTATAAGATGCACCAAACCACAAGACGCACCTAGTTTTTGGAGGAAGAAAATAAGAAAAAAAATATTCTGAATCTCAGAAGCCCGAACGGCAAGAGGAATCGTTGCACAGTGAAAGCAGCAATCCCTCTTGCTGTTCTGGCTTCTGTGATAGCTGCGCAGCCTGCATTCGCTCCATAAGACGCGCACACATTTCCCCTTACTTTTTAGGAGAGAAAAGGTGAGTCTTATAGAGCAAAAAATACGGTACGTTCAGAATCCTGGGAACTGCAGTCGCGCCCCCCCACCCAGCGCTACAACTGCCAGGACCCTTCCCCCGGGAAGTCTGCAGGGAAAGTTTGCGGAATGCACTTTCAATGTCTGGCATGGACGTGCCCAAAGATACTGGCTGAAATGCATGCATGCAGCTAAAATCCAACCATCCTGGCCCAAATCCTCCAATTTCTGGGAAGCATGCAAGGGGAAGTGCTCCCCCTCTCACACTCCCTGGAAAAGGAAGGACGGAAGGCAATAAGCTCCTGACAGCTACATGTTTGCCAACCATGGCAGGTGGGGGTCCTAGACTAGCAACCCGCACAGCTCCTTGCTCACTGCTCAATCCTCTCTCTGTGCTTGTTGGAGCCCATCCCTACCTACCTATGTCTGTGGTCACGGCTCCTGCTACGACTCTTGCTCCTCTTCTTTTTGCTGCAATCGGGAAGGAAGGAAGGTGAGAGGTGCGCAGGAAAGAGGGAGGGGAGAAGGAAACGCCGGAGGAAGCAGACCAACTCACCTGCTGCTTTCCCCGCTGCTGCTGGGGGCGCTTTCTTTCTTTGCGTCCTTTGCTTGCTCCTCCTGAGGCGGCTGGAAAAAGGGTCGGAAGACAGAAGAGAGGGGGGTAATATGCAGCCCCTGCTCCTCCCTCGCATGCCTCAAAGCCCAGCCCCACTCTGCCCTCCCCCTCCCAGCTGCTCCCGACCGCTTTCATACATTACCTGTGCTGTGGGGGGATCAGCTGGTGGCTTTGAGGGTCCTGGCTGGGCCTGGAGCAAACACAGGAGGGATGGGCCCAGCAGGGAAGGGTCACTGAGACACACAGGGAGAGGGGGGCACACACACACACACACACCACCATTTCTCACCCCACTCAAACCAAGAAAACAACAACAACCCAAAACACGTTTCTTTCCATATGTCTAGCACAGAGCAGCACATCTGAGGGACCTGGGAGAATCACTGGCAGTACGTCCGAGCTCATTAATTATACGAGGCATGGGAGGGGGACCCAGAACCCCAACACTTACAATTAAAGCAGCCGCACCCTCCCGTTCCTTGGAGAGTGCAGCTGCTTTAAGAGACTACGCTTTTAATGTTTTGTCTTTCCTAAAAATTAGGAACACAGCTGCAAGAACAACTGAGTACTTAAGCTGCCTCAGCAGACTGGGACATAAGAGCAAAACACACACATGCACCCCAGTATAGGCCTGTCCCCCACCAGACCACCAAATGCCGGGAGGGGGACCTCCAGGGCTCTTTGGAGGGAGATAAGCCACTTTTGAAGTTTGAAAACCAATGAGTTTTCATTAGGAAAGTTAGAATTATTAGCTTTTCATATCTGGCATGTGCCAAAACTCCCCCTGCCCATCATTCTACTACCAGGAATTGTTTCCTTTAAAAAAAAACACAATATACTGTTCAATGCAGAATTGTGGTAAGTAGTTGATATTCAGCAACTCAACTTTCAAGGGGGTTTCCCTCTGCTTAAAGAAGGGTCAAATCTGCTTGCCTTACACCCACTTTGAAACTGGTGCAGGATTTGCTTCCCTGAGAACCCCAACTTCTACTGTAAAGAAAAACAACAACGTTTCACCCACTGTTTAGCCTACCCAAAATACCAGTGACACTTAATTGAGTTCTCTCCTATTGCCAAAACCCACTCCAGGAACATTTACCTGGCAAGCATTCAGTTTCCAGGGGGGGACCGGGACCGGGGACCTGCAGTCGGAATCATCAACAACAAAATTCCTTGATTTAATTAATACAGAATTTGTTGTTTTCGAGCTAGTAAGTGCATGAGCCAAGGCTCCGCATGGGATGCTGTTGTTCTGGTCACAACAGCAGGTGGGGCGCAGTGCCACATGCAACCAATGCTTAGGAAGAGATAAACGTCACCACGGCCAAAATCGTGGCCAGATTCGCACCCACTGATTTCTAATGGGAGCTGCTTCTAAAGAAGTGCATTCCGGAACTACCTTAAACAAATAAAGGCCAGGGGGAAAGCAGCATGTCACACAAATGCACATAGCTTTCTTTGGAATGTGTTATTCTGCTGCAAAGTTTGGGTGCTCTTTGGCAGGGATGGAGAGGACAAGTGATCTAAGGCTTATCAAAGAGAAGGAACATTTTTATTTTATTTTCTAGACCCTAGGCAGTATGGTGACTGAACTGTGGCAAGCAACTGGCAACTCCTGATCCAATAAGCTTGTCTCTGAATTAACATGATTTCACATCTTTAGTGGCCTGCATGTATATGCAAGCCAATAACCAGTTTCTTTGGTGGCCTTACATTAACAATGGAAACAATAAAATGCAGCTACGTAAGCTAGAATCGTTACTTTTTTTATTTAAAAACAAAAACAAAGTTGAGGCCCTCAGGGAAGGGAGCTACACAAGGGACTGCATTAGGTACCACACTGCAATCGTGGTAGCATGGCTAAGAACCCCTTTTTTCACAGGTTGGGCATGCTGCTGCTGCTGTTTCCAAGAACTCACTCCTTACCTCCTCTTTCTTGTACGGGGCCTCCAACATGGCCTCTATCACGATATCAAAGTCATCCGAGGCCATGCCGTCCTCTTGGCTCTGCAAGTAGGGAGAGAGAGAGAGCGGAAGGGTTAAACGCAGAGTTCCCTGCAACGGAACCCCACAACACTACCTTCCCGAAGAACAAGAGAAGGGGGTGAGGGTGGGTACTCACTGGGTCCTGGGATGGATTGGGGAACGCCGGATCCATGGCTGGCCCAAACGGGTGGGCTCCCCACCACCCCGAGACACAGGAGCTGCTAGTGGAGAAGGGCTTCTAGCAGGCAAAGAATTCGATCACAGCCTGGAGAAGATGGAGGCATGAGTAAAATTGAGAAGTGGGCTACGCAGGGGTGGGCAGGGAGGACCGTGCATGTTGCCTGGATACGCTAGAGTTCTAGAATCTACGGATCTGTAAAACCAACTGGAGCCCACCATGTGACCTCTGGGATTCTGGAATGCCAAGACAAACGTGAAAGAGCATCTCAGGTTGCCTGCCCACTTCCCATGCAAAGGATACCTCTCCTCTAGCAACCTGCCCCTGCCTCCTTTTCTAATCTAGAATTATCTCAATCCACCCAGTAAATTCCTTCATATGGGAACTTGCACTCCACACTCCTTCTACAGACCTCACACTGCAAAACATCCCCCAGGAGAGTAAAAAATAAAAACACCCCGCTTCTCCGTCTGGGTAAGGGGGTGCCTGTCAGATACACCTGCAAAATGCTGGTTGCAACATTTTTGCTTTAGAATGAGGTGGGCAGGAGTGGATGTGGGGAAATAATTTTTCTGTGACGTATTTTAATAAAATCAAAGTTTGGGCACAGAAACCGATAACTTTTTTAGCGGGGGAGCAGAGATAGGACATAAAGGGACTGTGTATTGGCAACCTTTGTAAATGAGAACCTGTATTTTCACTCTAGAAAACCAGAGATGTGTACTAACACCTCATAATCCCAAATATCTCCACTCTGAACTGCCTTGCACTTATTTCTACGGGATTTTGCATAGGATGGAGCAGTTAAGTCTTTAGCAAATAGGAGAGATGTTGTTTTCTCTATAGCCATGAAGTCTTCACAGGCAGTATCAGATTTTACATGAAAATGGTGGGATTCTTGTCATACCATTGTAGCAGTACTGAATTTTAGGCACACACCACACTGCCAAAACACACTGTTCTTCAAACCTTTTAAACTCTCATATTCTTCTAAGTTTACTCTAGCTACCTGAGCTAGGAAGCTACTATGCAGAAACCTTGCACACTTTTGTACGTATACTGTAAGGATCTGAGCACTGGGGCACTAATCCACACTAGCAGTAGAAGAACCAGAAGTGGGCATCTCTTATCCCCTCCTACAGCTAGTCAGCTTGATCAGAAACTCTAGTCTGTTCCCTTCCTCTTTGCTGCTTTCACTGTTAGCAAAGTAGATTGGGTTGTTGCAAACTTCTGTTGACAGGAGGAAAGCATATCTGGCTCTGTCTGTTGCAGGATCCACTGCCCTAAGAGTGCCCCACAGTAGATTCACACAACCGACTGTAACCCTAAGGCTAAGAAAAACCTGCAACTTTGGGATGCATGGAATGCATGTAGTTTGTGTATTGTCAAATACCTCATGAATAGTGAGTCATAGTCTGTAAACATGCAAGTATTTATGAGGGGGTTCCTCTAAAATTCCTAAGTATACATGTAGGAAAGAACCTTCATGTAGCTTTCCAACAGTGAAAAGACTATCACAACATTGTTTTAAATTTTAAGTTGATTCAAAGTTTCTAGTCCTTGTTGTTTCGTTCAAACAATTAGTTTTGTCACCGCTGTTTAATTCTCCCCACCTTTGCCCTGGAGTTTTTTGAACTTTAACTCTTCCATAGAAAAAGAGAACCTTGCTCTAGAATAGTAGCTGATCATTTACTGGGATACAGAAGCAAAAATTTCCCACATTCCAGTGATTTACTCAGGCAGAAAGATCAAGTGACAGTATCCACTAGATAATACAGTACAATTAATTTTTTCATTTCTCTCGATAAATGCCTAAGCTTTACTACAACAGTGACAGCTTTTAAAGGACACACAGTCTACTGAAGACTCAGAAGCTAAAAATGGACTTCAGAAGTATTCCCAATGGCCATGCATGGCCTAGAAAACTCTCCATAACTCCTACAGGCTACCAAACACAGCCTAGATTCTGGGTTGGGTGGTGGTGTTCTTTCTTCTTCTTTTTTTTAGCTTAAATATTCAGGTGAAGCCTAAAAAGTGCCCCCAACAGACCATGCATATTCACATGCAGATATCTGCCTAAGCTTGGGGTTTCCTTGGAATTTGAAATGTGTCCAAACTTAGTTAAGATCTCTCGTGGTGTACAGCTGCATTCAGTTGTGACAACATGCATGGGCTTCTTATGTTAACAGACAAAAGATGCAGAGGAGCTTCTCTTCCAGTCACTTGCAGATGTTTTCTGGAGTATCCAGAGTTGCCCAGTTCTAGTCTTCATGGTCCAGTAGAAGCTATTATGTTTCCATCATGAGGAATTTAACCACACCAAAGAAAGCTAGCAGAGAGAGGCTAGAACATCGGATCTAAACCACCCTGATGAAGAACTCGCTTGGATCTCAGGCTTTTCAAATCTTTGTATCCCCTAAAACAGAAACAGCCAACGTGGTGCCCTTCAGAAGCTGTTGTCCTGCGACTCCCAACACCCCACACCTCTAATGTGAGCTGGCAGTCCAACATCCGATGGAAGGCGCCAATAGTGACTACCCTTGCCCTAAAGCAGCCCTTCTCAACCTTGCGTCCCCAGATGTTTTTGGCCTACAACTCCCATCATCCCTGACCACTGGTCCTGTGAGCTAGGGATCATGGGAGTTGTAGGCCAAAAACATCTGGGGACCCAAGGTTGAGAAAGGCTGCTCTAAAGCATCAAAATGATAAAACATCTTTGAAGATCGTCAAGCCTCAAATTTAAGGATTCACTATGCAGAAACTGCTTGCTCCCTACTCTCCCCAATTCCAGCCTTTAATTACTGCTCAGGTTTTATTACAGTGTGCAACTTTTCCATCGTGAAATCTATGACCAGCTTGATATACATACCTGTAGCTCCAGACACCCATTAGTCTAAGGCAGTTGTGGGGAGCCTTTGGGCCTCCAGAGCTGGTTGGACTCCAACTCCCATCAGCCACTGACAACAAGGCCAGTAAGTGAGAGGTGATGTGAGTTGTAGTCCAGCAATATCTGGACGGCCACAAGCTCCCCACCCCTGTTCTATTCCGTCCATGTCAGATATAGGTGAGATGCCCTGTGGCCACAAGACAAGTCCTATTTAATACCAAAACAAACAAAACATGCAACTCCAACTCCGTCATTTGTTTACTAGACTTTGGTCAAGGAGCTCACACATGTATTCCAGAAGACCAACTCACAGCCGGCTCCAGCTGAACTATTCCCTCTCCACCACAGGGCTACCTACCACCAACTGCTCTGTGGGAAGGATTTGCGGCAGGCAAAAACCACCCCAGAGTATACTCTGGCTATACTTCCTTCACTCTCCCATAGGGCAATACTACCAACAATGGCTGGATGGGAAGAATTGTGACACTGATGTTTATTACTATTATTATTATTATTATTATTATTATTATTATTATTATATGTGGTTGAATGCTTCTTGCAAGTTGCCTTTGAAGAATCGTTATCTTGAAAGGAGGATTTAAGGAAATGAGCAGAAGCCACCATATTCTCAGGGGTAGTCTCCAAATGTTCTTATACTACAATTCCCATCTCCCCTGACTATTGGGCGTGTTGTATTCCAACAACATGAGGAAAGCACCACATTGCCTACCCCTAGCATTAAATAAACCCTTATTTTGACTTTTCCTAATAGAACTCAGTAGCTTTCCAAACTTCAATCTAGCGGAATCTAGAGACAGACAAGAATGGTTCACAACGTTCCAAAATTTCCCCCTAAATAATATCCCTAGAGAACTCCACTCCAGCACTCCACTCCTGCTGGCTCTTCTTCAACTCCCTGCCTACCCCAAATAATCTACTGAACTTTGAAATATTAGATTCCCGCAGATCACTTAATACCTGTTCTGCCTTCAAACTCAACTGTCAAAGTTACCCATACTTCAGATGTGGTGAGGTTGGCAACGAGGGGACTGCAAACCACAAGAAGAAAAACAGCATTTCTTGTGCTTCAGGGACTGCAATACCATGCATGCTAACCTGAACACAACAGCGTTTACTTTTTAGGGAAGACACACAGGTCTATACTAGACCTGCAGTCTAAAAGGGAACCCAATAGGCTGCAATCATGTACTTGCAACATCAGAACCTCACAGCATCCATATCTATGTATATGAACAACCCACTTTTCCACCAAAGTCTTCAAAGGGCCTCTCTCTTCACGTTTACCAAAGTACAATGGATACACCACAACAGACACTTCGCCCACTCCATAGTGTGGCCTTAAGCTTTCTTATCCGGGGGGGGGGTTGGCTCTCCTCGAGTCCTAACTCTCTTTAAAAATGGAGTAAGCTATACCACCACTCCAAAAAAAAACAAAAAACCACGGCATGCAAGTAGGAAATGAGCCACATACATCTTGAACATTTATGTTGCAAACCGCCCTGCGATTCTTGGATGAAAGGCGGCATATAAATTTAATAAGGATGAGCATACATACATATATAAAACAGACCTACCGCCATGTTTAGCACCCCTCCCCCCCGCTCTCTTTTAGGCTCAGAGGCACCATCTTGTTACCTGCCTGAAAACCCCCTCCCCCCCCATCGGAAGGAGACCCTGCACCGCCTACCTGGCCTTTCGTCCACCACCTGCCCCCGCCCGCAATGCGGGAGGCGGGTGGGAAGGAAAGCGGGAGGGCAACCCAAGGCCAGGCCACGCCCCCTCCCCAAAGCCCCGCCCTTTGCCTCTCGCGGCGTCTGCGGCCCTTCGGCCCGCGCTCCCGTCTCTTTTTCACAACGGCGGGGAGCCCTAGAAACCCCTCCCGCTGACGTCACCGCCGCGGCCGTGACGTCACCGCCGCCACTTCTGCCCGTTCGGCGCCTCCGGGCTCTTCCCCCCCTCCCTCCCCTCAGGCCTTTCTCGAAGTCACTCACCCACCTCCCCCTCCCCTTTGGCCGTTAGACCCCAGAGGTCTCTTTCCGGCCCGGGTCAGCTCCAAAGTCTTTCGCTCTCTCCTCAGACGCGGCCGCAACAAGCAGCAGCGGCGATGCTAAGATGGCGGCGAACACTTCTCCCTCCAGAAGCTCCCCCTCCCTTCTCCTTCGCCTCGCGGAGGCCCCAAAGCGCAGGCGCGTGGACTCTAGCGCTGTTGATTGGCTAAGAGCGGAGAAGGAGGAGGAAAAAGAGCAAGAAGGGTCGGGGGAACGGGTGGGTGTCATTACAATCAAGACGGCGATTGGTCGGGCTACGTCACGAAGGCGGGCTTCCAAGCCGTGATCTCGATGCTCACTGGTTAATGGCTCAGGAACGTTTGAGGTAAGGTTTTCCTTTCGCCCTCGCCCCCGAGTGGAACCAATGGTTGCGAGGCGGAGGTGGGCCGAAGGCGGGATATACTTAAAGGCGATTGGCCTAAACGACGGAGGAACTGTGAGGACGAAGTCTGATTGGGTAAAAGTGCGGGGGAAAATAAAGTGTATTGTTCGCCATAACAATCATCATTGGCTGTCATTCCTCGAAGGAGAGGGGGCTCCTCAAGCTATTTAATTTTATGAAAAGCTTAGGAAACGCCACCCAATCGCTTTTCGCCTTTCGTGGTGGAAGCGAATCCCTGATTGGCTGCTTCGTGGCGGCGGCAAGGCCTCTTTCCTGGTAGAAGCCAAAAGCCGCTGAGCTCCTGTGAAAAAAGATGGAACGGAGGGGGGGGGCTGTGCCGCGCAGTTGCCATGGCAACAGAACCACAGGCCTGCTGCGACTCCCGCGGTCCTACGGGCTGCGGCGGAAGCCAATCATCGCCCAGCCCGATCCAAGATGGCTTCCCTCCCCTGGGGCACCTCTCGCTCCACCTTTAAACCATATAAAGTGGGGGGACACATATAAAATGGGACCCCAATGCCACCCCCTTATCTTCCCCGTGAATCCTGCATCAAACACAAAAGAGCCATTTCCTTTTAAATACCTTTGGGGGCAAAGGGCACACCACCAAATCAGATAAAATGATAATGGCAGCAGTACTTCATATAAGCTGCTCCTGCGGTCAGAGCACATATCGGATTTAAACTGGTTTGCAACTAGTTTTGGCGCTTGCGGGTCCACAACCCTGCCCAGCAAGGAAGAACTGAAGCATTTTTGAATGAGAAACTTATGCAGGTGCCTTGCCCTACATACAGGGCCTACTCAACCTGTTTGGGCGCTTTGGAACTCCCTGCCACTTGACATCAAGCAGGTGCCTCCGCTGTACTCTTTTTCGGCGCCTGCTGATGCTTAGGAAGTTGAATGAATTTTAACCCGTTTTAGTATTTTAACTTTTGTATGTTTTAAAGTAGGGTTGTGATTTTCCCCCTCAATTTGTCTTATTCTTCAATTCTTCAAGGTTTTTTCACAACCAAGCAGAGTATAAATTTAGGAAATAAAATAAGCCAGCATTGCGTAGAAAATATTTTCATGACAACTGTTGGGTGTTCTGCTTGGTAAGACAGGAGCGGCTCTGGGATGTTTGGGGCCTCCAGCTGATGTGCATCCTGTTGGCCCTGGTTCCTGACAGACTGCCTCTGAACATGGAATTTCTACTTTGCTGCGATACTTAACAGCCATCAGCTGGGCTATCTTCAACTGGTTTTAATTGCTGTTTAAAGCCATCTAAGTTAAGATGTCATGACAGAAGATGGCAGCTAATTCTAAAACGGTTGTATCGCTTTCAAAACCAAATATTGAAAGCGAGTTCCTTGCTTCATCACAGACGGCAGCTCCAAATACACATTTGAATGACTTTATTGAAATTTCACAGACCAGAAGCAACACATGGAACAATGGCAGGTGTTAAGAATGGACCTTTCCTGGACCTACACCCGCAGCAAGGTTGGAGCCCCTCCAGGCCTCTGCACAGTCTCTGATTCTACTCTGAGTGGAAAGAGGATTTCTTGTGTCTCAGGGCTGGCAGCAAGAAGAACTTGGTTAAGGGGAATGGACTTGACTCCTCTCATAGTCCAATGGTGTAAGAACGTCCTGTGGGGTTGTGGATGACGGAGCACATGGGAGAGACTACGGCCCACTCGTACCACACTTTCTTCGAGTTGCTGCAGCGCCAGAAGGCCACGCGAATGCGTTCACCTGCCTGCACGTTCATGGGTTGCTGGGGGGTGGGGAGAAGAGCATTAATAGCTGAGGGTCCGTTCACAAACCAGGATAACACCACCCTAATACAGTGTTATTATATAAGGAACCTTTGTCCACAAGTCCTTTTCCCTCAGAGGTCTGCTATAGACTTTTCTTCCCTTCTCTTGTTTGGTTGTAAGTCACTTTGGGTTGCCGTGGGCAAGAGAGAGGTTTAAAGACTCTCTCAAGTATAAATGTAGTATAAACACAAACAACTGGGAAACACTGGCCTGCGAGCACTCCAATTGGAGAACAACCTTTACCAAAGGCGTCATGGGCTTTGAAGACACTCGAACTCAGGATGAAAGGGAGAAACGTGCTAAGAGGAAGGCACGTTTGGCAAACCCTCACCGGGATCAACTCCCACCAGAAACCTACGTCCCCACTGTGGAAGGACATGTGGATCCAGAATTGGCCTCCACAGTCACTGTTAAAACCGTTTTCATGGAAGACAATCTTACTCAGCTACGAGTGATCGCCAAAGAAGAAAGCACCTAATAATTTGAGAAATAATAAATAATTTCTCCGCTGGAGGCAGTCTACTAGGGCAAACGGGGCACTGCTCCATCAAGCTCAGCCTGTGCTCAAGACAGTTCTCACTTGCCTACTCTTGATGAAAGCCTTGTGCTCTCAGCCCTAATCCTAACACATTAGGAATGTGTGGGCTAGCTGGGAGCATCCTGTTTTGTTATCCCCCCCCCAATAGGTTTTCTTATAGATGTGAAAACCAATTTAGAAGAACCACCCAGTCCTACCACCAACAACAAAAAAAGGAAAAAAAGTCAAAAAGAGATCAAAAGCAAAGAAAAGGTGTGTGAGAGGGCAGAGGAAGAGAGAAAGTGGGGGAAGAAGTGGCAAAGACAGAGATGAAGAGACAGAAACCGTGTTGCCTTAAATAGCATTTGATTATCCTGGCACATATTGTTGTGTTTTCCCCCACTGAATGTAAAGTGCACAAAACGCCCACACCTTCTACAGCTGTTCCTATCACCTTGGAGGTTCCCGTGGTGCAAAGTCTTACCGCCCAGTGGTAACAAGGGATACCTTCCTCTCCCAAAAGGGAGCCTTCAAGGAAGCACTTACCTTGAGAGGGAAGAAGATAGGGAACCACGAAAACATGCCGGGTGAGTGAGTCTCAGGCCGAATACCTAGGTGGAGAAAACATTGGAAAAGGCACATTCTGCAACATCAAGGAACATCAAAGCAAGACCGCTCACTCCACACCTTCAGCCTCTGAGGGGGCACACCTGGTGGCTCCCCACCACCTGAGCTTCTGTTGGCCTTTGCTAGGAACCAAACCTTCAGTGCGACAGGTTCCCTATCCTGTGGAACTCCCTGCCATTAAAGGCTCAGCAGTAACCATTCAGCAGGAATGGCTCAGGACTGCAATACCTCAACACTGCCTCTCTCCCTATGAAACTACCCGGACCCTGAGATCATAATCTGAGGCCCTTCTTCGTGTGCCGCCTCCACGGGAGGTCCAAAGCGTGGCAACACAAGAACGAGCCTTTTCTGCAGTGGCTTCCTTCTGGGCAATGTTCTTCCCAAGGAAGTTTGGGCTGGCACTTTCATTATACACCTTTAAGTGCCAGGCAAAAATGTTCCCTTTTCGACCAGGCCTTTGGCTGGCTGACATCCAATGCCCTTTGAAATGTGTTGTGGACGAGGGATTGTTGAGTTGTTTTTGCTCTTATTCTTATTATGTATTTTGTGCTTTTTTATATTGTAATTTTATCCCTATATCTATAGATATAGGGCGGTATACAAATTTAATAAATAATGTAATATTAATTCTTGCCTTTTGGGAGTCTCTCAAAAAAACCTGTTATTCAGACAGGCCTTTGCAACACAAATTTCTTTTTACCTACCAGTGGATACTGACGTTTTAAACTGCTTTTGTTGCAGTTTTGTATGCTGCACACCGCCCTGTCATACTTTCCATGGGCATGTGTGATAGGAATTTTATGGTCTTAGATATATGGCAATGTTCATAACCGCACATAGATAGATCAACACAGGAAGGCCAACCTGGAACCATTTTGATTCCTAAACTGACCAAATGTTTTCTCTGCAAGGTCAAACTGGAAAAGTCTCCCCATTGTCTCTTTCCTCACAAATCCTGTCTTAAGGACACATTTAAGATATGAATAAGGTGTGAGCCTGTGACCTGGCCCAGGAAATAAGTATTTTACCACTACAAAAGAATGGCCAGGCTCTCTGGGAAATCCAATCAAGTAACTTGCCAGACAGGAGATAAACTGTGACAGGAGAAAAACAACATTTAAATTTCTGTGATGTAGGTGGGATGTATCTGAGGGGTGGTCTTGATCTAGAGGATGGGAACTTCAAAACTCTTTATAAGCCCTTGCACAGCATTTTTGGGGGTCCTCTTCCTCTCCTGCGTGTGAGGGGAGTACCCTGTTGCAACAGATCAATAAAGATCAAGCTTACTAGCTGCTTTGCTTCTCAATATTTTCTGGTTGGCCTCTGTTATTTTCTCCTACCAATAGGGAACCTATGTAAGGACTCTATATGGGCTCTTGGATACCCCATAAGGGAAAAGGGCTTAAAAGTATTTAAATGAAATAAATAACCCCCCTCAACTTACTGAGAGTGATGTCTCCATACAGAGTGGTCTCAAAGTAGCCTGCAAAACCGTGAAGCACTGTGTTTACATCCACGGGGAACTCCAGTGTCTGGTAGCGGTTGTTGTCTTTGACTCTGTCTACAAGAAGGAAGGGGGTGTGGTCAGCCAAGGCCACGCCCCCTCAAAGGACGGCCCACCTTACTCTCTTAAGGGCACAAGCTGATCGCCCACCACTCACCTGGTCTGTGCCAACCCAGGTTCTGTGGCAGTTTGGTTTTTAAAGGTGTGACTAGCAGTTCCCGCCACATCGTGTGGCTAGTCCAAGCCCCACCCTCCTCAGCAGGGAACGTGCGGTTCGCT